CTGCATTTTGACAGAAAGTGTTTCCTGTCACTCACAAGAAAAGTACAGACAAAGCACTGTATACCTCAGGAGAAACTGATTACATTTACCGCTACACATGAATGAGGTTATGTACAGCTCCTTTTTTTTTTCACAGACAAGACTGTTGTTAGTTGCTCTTTTCCCCTCCATGCATTCTTAACATGTTCTTAACATTTGTTAACTCTTCAGCAGCCAGCGGCTTTCAGTTGATTTCACAACAGAGGGAATCTTGTGAAATCGTGCGAACATCTAATGTCAGCCTAATGTCATTATGGCTGCCATAAAGACATTAGGATTCATTCTTTTAGCTGAGAGCGTAGATTTACTGAAACTTTACAGGAAAACATTACAAGTGAGTGAGGTGAAAGAGTAGTATGACGCTGAAATCAAAAGCAGATGATGAAAACAAATGAAAAGTTATCGTTAAAAATCTCCAATAGCAGACTACCAGGTACAGTAAAGCAGCTGAGAGAGGCTTTTTGCTATAAGCCAGGCTGCTACATCAGTACTAAACTAAAATACTTCAGCAACTGCTGGGTGATTTTTTATTTTATTCATTTGTTGATGCTTGTTGATGATTTCCAGACAATAAATTCAACTCTATCTTTCTTCCCACGTTAGCTTTCTGTCTTAAGAACACACGAACGACAACAGATTAAAATTAGCTTGTAATGCTAACCTTTTCTTTTCTTTGGCGCTATCATTAGTCATATGAGCAAATAAATGAACTTAAAGTGCCCCAATGGCACGGCATGTTTTTCAATACTGCTAGACAGACTGCTGTGGGAACAGACAAGAGCCATATTTGTAGCATACTGAATAGCATTAGCATTGCAGTCATGCTAGGATGCTGAAAGTGGCACTCTTGGTTCAAACACCATGGGTCCTGATGACTGTCACTTTGTCTTTGCCCTTAAATGTGGCTTTTAAACAAGTGAAACAGCAAAGGGGTGTACCAAGAAACTAACCAACAGTGTTCATCTGTGAAGCACGCTTATATCTGCTGAGTCATTTTACAAGATACAAAAGGAAGACAGAGAGCAACGCTGACCCATTTTTTAGAGCAGCTAGAACCCTTAATAACTGGTTTCCAAGTAAAAAGGATTTTAGAGTCAATTAGTGAATGACAGCTGTAAGGAAACCTCAACTCTTCTCAGAGATGCAGGGTTAGCAGCTGTTTGGCCTTCTCCTTGTTGAGGATTTAGTTATACACTACAAGAACTATGATGCAATATGATGAGGCATAACTGGAGCATAAGTGGACAATCTTCATTCATACATTTTTTGTACATTTCACAATAAAATCTCATCTGTTTAATGATAATAATAAGCTAATAATAGAAAGTACTACTATTTAATATTTGACACACCAAGTGGCTCCAGAAATTAAAACATACATGAATTGTCCAAAGAAAAAGAAAGAAAAACAGGAAACAACTGTTAAAGCAGTTCATAAAATGTTATTAAGGTCTCATAAAGGTGTAACCTAACTGACTAGTATTTCATTGTAAAGTTAACAGTCATTAAAAAGGGGGGGGAAGAAGAAGAAGAAGTTGACCTACATCTCCCACATGAAGTGCTTATCTATGTTATCTGTTGCTTACATCACTGGGATTAAACTGGGGCACAAAAAGAGAGGAACTAAAACTGAAATGTATATAAATTTATGAATACAAAGGGGTTACTGGAATTTTAAAAACACTTTAGACCTCCAGAGAACAGATGAAAGGTTCCTGTCAACAAAGAAGCAGGAAGTAAAGAGTGAAACAGTTTCACGACTTGTTGTCTCTTAAGAGGTTTTGTTGGAAGACAGGGGAAAGCCAAACTGTCACAGCTCACAGGCCTGGGGAAGGATTAAGGATGCTAATCGAGGACGTTAGTAGTTTTTCCTCCATGATGTTGACCGATGTCAGGTTTTAGATCAAAATGTTTCCCGAGCTTTACGTTTCTAAAACAGAGATTGTGTTATACTTTCTGTGCCTGAGCTTCAATTGTGTCTAAAATGGAAACACTGAGGGGGCTTAGTGGTCTAAGCATCACACCACATAACCCACACTGTCCGTGGTTTGGTTCCGACATGTGACCTTTGTCGTCCCCCTCTCTTTCCCCCATGTTTCCTCTCTGCCTCCACCGGCAAGAGATTGTAAACAGAAACAAAACCCGTATTACAAAAGTCTGCCAAAAGACACAAGAGAAATTTACCACAAAGTGGTGCATAATATATGAGGCAGTGTTTGAGCCGCAGTTAAAGTAGATACAAAAGAGGCAGCATGTCAGCTGTTCTTGCATCATCTGACATTGAATCTTGAATTTGTTCACCATATGGGTGTTAAAATACTCATTTATAGAAAGGTTAGGTGTCATGTGGGAGATTTATGAAACCATATAACATAGCTGGTTTGATTTGATTGCACAATCAGCTGCAAACACCAAAGGGGGGGATAAACTTTTACTAAGTAACTCCCACAATGGCAAATTCAGTTCAGTTTGGTTCAGTTTAATAAAACTTGCTTTAAGGTGCTTTGTATTGTAATATAGAGACCCCACAATAATAGAGAGAAACCCCATCAATCAAGCGAGCCTCTCTGTGCAAGTATAGTGCGAGTATAATAACTTCAGTTTTATCTGAATTTAGAAGCAAGTTTGCTTAGGCTTCTGCCCCCGCAACCCAGCCTCGGATAAAGCGGATGAAGATGGATGGATGGATGGATAGAAGCAAGTAGCAAATGCTACTAAAGAACGAAGGTCTTCAGTTAGCTTTGACAAATTTACAAATAGCCAAAGCAGAACTATGATATTGCGTCAGGTCAATTTATGTTTATTTAAGATTTAGCAAATAGAGCCGTGGTGTCAAAGTCACTTTGGTTCCTGGTTTAGATGTACCCCAATTTGATATTAAGTGGGCAGATCAGTAAAAGAGCTGCACAATAACCTAACTTTCTTTTCATGTGATGCAGTACAAGGAAAGTTCACATTTAATAAGCCATTCATATTAAATGTGAGATATCTTATTACCTGTAGTTTAAGGAGCTTGAAAAAGAGAGCAACTTGACTTCTTCAAGCTTTTGTGAAGACATTTCAGCTCTCATCCAAAAGGCTTCTTCAGTTGTAAAACAAAAGGTAGAGGGTCACAGGTATTTAATACCTAGTGGCGGCTGTCCCTAAGAGGTACTCACTATTAATCACATGAGCCAAGGTTTGAACAAAGGCGTGGGTGATACCACTGGAGGTTTCAGGTGTAACCACTGTGAGATCTCGCGCTTCTCTATCATGTGACCTGTTGAGGTCACCTGATGCAAGATGTGACTTGGGGTTGAGACACCTGGGAAGCGAGCTCATGACTGCACTGTAGGTGGCAGGCAGTTGGTGACATAATCCACTCCTTCTGTTCAATAATGGTCGTTCACAGGGATGTAGATGGCCTCTTTTACTTGTCTTTCTCTGTCCAAAATGTGAACGTTGGCGTCCTTAAAAGAGTGACCTTTGTCAGTTGGGTGCAGATGTTCAACTGAGTCTTGTACTGTTGAAGTGGCTGACCGCTTGGTTTCTCCAGTGTAGAGGTCCGAGCACTCCTTGACGCACTGCACAGCGTGGACTGGATTCCTTAACTTGTGTTTGGAAGTTTTGTCCTTGGGATAAACCAGTTTTTGTCTGAGTATGTGGCTGGGTCCGAAGTGCACTGAGACGTCGTGCTTAGAGAAAACTCACCTGAGTTTCTCTGATGAACCTGATGCATAAGGGATGACAACATTGTTCTGCTTGTCACTCTGTTTCTTGCTAGTTGTTGTCTGACCTTTACTGTGGATCATTACTGATTTGATGAAGGCCCAGTTGAAATTACGACATGTTGTAAGTGTTTTCTTTAGGTGTGTGTTTCTTTTTGTTTCCTTCGGGCTCAGAGGTAATGTTTTCTGCCCGGTGTTGCAGGGTCCTGATAACCCCAAGTTTGTATTCCAGAGGGTGGTGGCAGTCAAAGAGTAGCTACTGGTCTGTATGTGTGTTGGCTTCCCGTAAACTTCAGTGTTGAGGCTTACATCCAACTTTTTTCACACCTTGCCTCATGTGATGAGGCAAGGTGTCAAAAGGGACAGCCCCCACTTAGAACTTCCATGTCCTGGATGACTGAGAATCTACAGAGACTTATTAACCATACATAAGAAAAGTACAAACCTTCACATGTGTTGTAAAACTATTCTTTTACTTTTTATGATTGAAACAGTTTGTCAAGATCTAGACATATCTTTTTATTCTTTCCATGCATTTTCATAACCATGCTACAAGATCATTTTTACACTTGCAAAGCCAATGGGCTGAGTTTCACTCTTTGTCCATGTTTGACATTCCTGTATTAGAGGCTAGAGCTCATGGTGGTGTACGCACAATTGTAGCGCCAGACTCTCTGACTGTAGTGAACTCAGAGGTTATCATTTTCAAATGCAGGAACGTGTTTCTTCTTTAAAAAATACAATATATATTTCAAGAGAGCAGAGGAATTTCTGCATTTAACTGGACACCGCTGCTTTAGCTAATGCAAAGATGCAGTCTTTCGTTATCTCAGTGGATTTTTTGGCCCATATAATGCAAATGACCAACAAGGCTAAGGAGCAAGAACATGCTATGTTTAAATTTGACTGTGAGAGCTGAAATAGCCTCAGCATCTAGTTCACTAATGTTTCCAAAAGTTAGAACAGTGGTACTGGCTCTCGAGGCAAAGTGGAATAGAGATTAAAGCATTTGCTTATCTGCTGCAGAAATTTCCACTGGCCTATTTGCATCCACTGACTTTAAACCAAACAAGTAATGATGCACGTTTGAGTACAGTATGAACAGAAACCTGTAGCTATTTGCTGTCTGTCTGTTTGCTCGTTTGCGTCATTCCCCAACTTCCTCTTTGTCGTGTGGTTGCTGCAGAATGTGACGTTCGTCTCTGCAGATATATAAAGGCAACGCTGCGCGGGCTCGTCAAACAGACGCAGTTAGAGATCTCATAACTCTCTAAGAGCCCAACATTTAGTCATACATGTGCAAAGAATTGTTGCCATGCCAGGTTTAGTCACATCTCCAACAAAGGAGCTTCAGCAAATCAACATGGACACTGACAACAAGAAGACAGAGAAATACAGGTAAAATTTATTCTGGCCAATCAATATCATTACATCTTGTCTTGTTTTTGTTTGAATATAAGTAAAATAACTTTTGTTCATTTCTGTTTGATTAACCAGAGGGGGAAACCTGAAGTATCGGCTGCAGCGTAAATCATCCCAAGCCACAAAAACTGAGGGGTAAGTGAGAAAAAACTCAACTACAAGCTAAAAGCAAACCCTGCTCATATTTTATGCTTCATGTATGGATAACTGTGCTAACTTTATTCTCCTCGTTTACAGGCTTTGTTTTGAAGATATGTCTCAGTGGTCACAATCACTTGAGAGGCTTCTTTCATCCAAATGTAAGTTAATCAATACACTGTCTCAGACTCATCTTAGTCACTAAATGTCGAAAAACAATGGCTAACTGCAGATCTTTTTTTTACCATCTTTAGATGGAATGAAGATATTCCAGGCATTCCTGAAGTCGGAGTTCAGTGATGAAAACATTGAGTTTTGGGTGGTTTGTGAGGAGTTTAAGAAGATAAGAAATTCCTTCAGGATGTCATCCAGGGCGAAAAAGATCTTCAAACGCTACATTCAAGCTGAATCTCCCAGAGAGGTATGTAGCTCTTGATAATCCAGACAGATTTATGGCACTTTACAGAACAAGGAGCGCTGGCTGCTTTAGTTTTTCTTCATTGGTCCTCATTATGTTTCCTCTGCTTCCAGATCAACATTGATCAAAAGACGAGGGAAAGGATCCAGCAGAACATAGAGGCGCCTTCTACAGTGTGTTTTGATGACGCTCAAAAGATCGTCTACGGGTTAATGGAGAGGGACTCTTACCCACGTTTCCTCAAGTCTGACATTTACAGGACTTTAACGGACTCCACATCACAATCGGTGAACATGTAAAAAGAAGTGGAGCCTGAGACTTTGTGTGTGTAAAAGCTGGACTTTGACGCTACGCCCAGTACTGGACTACCTGAGAGGAGCCGTGACGTCTGCTTGTTTGTCCTGAGACTGGTGGTGATGGACACCAAAACTAAACCCAGTTTATTTCCATTACATTCATACTTTTCTAAAGAGTTGGAAAATAAATTGGGAGTGGCTAAGACCTCATCTGAACTTGTTAAAAAGACTTAGCCGGCACTTTAGTGAAAATCTGTGAGAAGAGTTTGCTAAGAAGCAGACAGTGTGCTTGGAAATGCTGTGTACAGGTCACGACTGCTTTCCCAAAACGCCACAGTTCTCTAAAGAGAATGCTGGGGACTTTCTGAGTGAGGCACCAGGAAGCATGTGTGGTCAACGCCATCCACACAAAATGAAACTGCACAATCCGATATCTGCACATGCACATCATCTGAAGTTTATTGTTATTTCACTAAAGCAATAAAAAAGTAGATGTATCTAGATGTGGATATTATGCACAGCCTTGTGAATTTAACATTTTTTACATAGTGACATCAGTGCTGACACAGTAAGCCGATACATTGTAATGATAGTAATCTATTATAAGCTATATGTTAAAAAAAATGTATTCCAGTTTGCGAATGTGAATAATAAATGGGTTTGTGACAAATAATAAAAACAAACTGTTTTAAATGTACATTGTGACTACATGGTTTTTTTGAGACACAAAGAAGAGCTGCTTAAGCTTTAGTTAAACACCTTTTTAAGAATACAGGAAGTGACTTAGTCAGCAGTTCATTCATTTCTTTTTCTCAGTCATTCATAAACTGTCTCACAGTTATAGTATTTACTACCCAGTGGGTTTATGATATGTAGAACAGCACAACGTACCAGGACACCTAATCTTGAAACTGTGGCCTCATTTCTTTTCCATGTTATATAAGTAATTCTTTTTAACTGTTTTTAAGAAAAAATCCTTTGCACAGGATGTAAACAGGAAGCAGCTGGCCTCATATAACTACGTTAGCTTAGTTTAGCTCAATGCAAACACACTGAAAATTAGGAGGACCTCGAGAGCCTAATCGTTTTGTTTGTTTCCTTTGTTTTGCTTTTTTGACAATTATTTTAAAGTAGCAAGTTTAGTAATCATGTTTTGCTGAGCCAGCAGGGTTTTTAAAAAATCCCTTTAAACTCCTTAATATACATTTTTCCCCAGTGAAAAGGGGATACCATCACAAAGAACTATTCATTTTAAACTGTCCATATAAAAAGCATTCTATATTGTATCAGCCTGTTGCAGCTGCACTATGGATTGTTTACACTGACTGAAGAATGCCGGCCATGCCATTAAACCAATAGAAGCCTTGGTGTCTTTGAGACTGCCAAAGTTACTACTATAGTTCAAAATCATGATATGCATCGAGCATCAGTGAGGTTTCAGCAATTTCGAGTGCTACGTGAGCAGACAGGTTGTTACAAAATTCTTCCACCTACACACGGTCTGTTCTTACATCAGCCTTTCATGTGTCATCGGCCTTTCATGTTCTTAAACGGGTTATCGTCCCACCATCCTGCAAGTCGCTCAGCCTTTCGCCACCCAGTGTCTCATTCATTAGTGTACCAGATGTTGCCGTTGCATGTTCCTGTTAATGCAGCTAAAAGTTTTAAACTGAAACTGGATTTGTTGGGGCTTTTTTTTAAAAAAGAAATTTTGGCTTTTTTTCTTTTTTTAAAAAAAAAGGAAGTTTATCTGTGAGAACACATCAGGTATCACTCTGCTAAAGGTTACAGAAATTAGGAAGATCTGTTTAGGCCTAACTGCTCCACCACATCCTCTTTTAATCTCACTTGTGTACTTTTGAATTTGCGCAGACACACAATGAGAGAGAGAGAGAGAAAGAGAGAGAGAGAGGCATATATGTAAGCAGTCATGACCCTGAAACACCTTTTGGGTTGTCAGGTGAGTAAAACACAACAAACTAAAGGTTAAGCACCACTAATGCCATGTTGTGTTTTTGTCAAATAAACTTTCAAAAGGATCTGAACTTTTTGAAAAATTCTTCTAACTATTATTTTAATCTTTAGTCAGTCATGGCTGACATGGATGGACCGCTGTCTGCTAGTCATTTCCCTTTTTACACTGGTCTGTGTGTTGGCAACAAGATGATCCGGTGATACGTCAGTCATATGATTATAAGCCACTATCAGAAAAAGTGAGTTAGGGTGCTTTTTTAACCACCCTGAGATACTAATCACCAATGCGTTATTGATGACTATCTACTACCCATTAAGAATACTACTCAGCAACTAAGACTAAAAGTCACCAATGAAACTCTTAGCCACCATATGTGTCATTAGATGGAAGCGATCATGCTTTCAGCACGTGACAGATCTTGCTCAACCAGTTCAACAAAGAAGGCTTTGTTTTACATCTATTTTAATGACATGTAAACACGTTCCACAGAGGAAACATTCTGCCAGGTGCAAAAATTTGCTTTTACCAAACGTGATGCTTAAAAATAATCTGCGCTTGGAGGACGACAGTGAACCTCACGGTACAAAAGTCAACTCACCTGAAGTGGCTTACAGACTTTAATTAAAGCTAATTCAAAAGACAGTGAGCTGAGCTGATACTAGCCTCCTTAAGATCATGCTGCTAACATGACTAAAAGACAGAAGTATATGTTCAGCTCATTTTTCATTTTTTGTTTAAATCCAAAGCAGGCCACACTGTGCATATGCACACACACATTCATACATATATATATATATATATATATATATGTGTGTGTGTGTGTGTGTGTGTGTGTGTGTGTGTGTGTGTGTGTGTGTGTGTGTGTGTGTGTGTGTGTGTGTATGTGCTGTCAGCGTTAATCTCGTTAAAATGACGTTAACGCCATAACCGCATTAACGCGGCAAATCTCCGTTAGCGAGTTAGCGCGGATCACCCCGTATGTGGGGCTGCACGGCGTCAACGCGTTAGCATGGTTAGCTTGTTAACGCGTTAGTGCCGTCCAACCCAACGCACCAGGTGATCCGTGCTAACTCACTAACGGAGATTTGCCGCGTTAATGCGGTTATGGCGTTAACGTCATTTTAACGAGATTAATGCTGACAGCACACACACACACACATTATATAAATTTAAAAAAAAAACACCCAGCACGCCCCTGCGGGTGGTTTATCCTTCAAGCTCGGGTCCTCTACCAGAGGCCTGGGAGCTTGAGGGTCCTGCGCAGTATCTTAGCTGTTCCCAGGACTGCGCTCTTCCGGACAGAGATCTCTGATGTTATTCCCGGGATCTGCTGGAGCCACTCGCCTAGCTTGGGAGTCACCGCACCTAGTGCTCCGATTACCACGGGGACCACTGTTACCTTCACCCTCCACATTCTCTCGAGCTCTTCTCTGAGCCCTTGGTATTTCTCCAGCTTCTCGTGTTCCTTATATATATATATATATATATATATATATATATATATATATATATATATATATATATATATAAGGAACACGAGAAGCTGGAGAAATATATATATATATATATATATATATATATATATATATATATATATATATATATATAAGGAACACGAGAAGCTGGAGAAATATATATATATATATATATATATATATATATATATATATATATATTTCCTCATCCCCACAAACATTGCAAATCTAAAGAATATAAACGTAGACACAGACAGTTGATGAGATAGGCTTTTTTAAACTCAGTAACAGTAAGGGTGAAGTCTTAAATCTATTAAATCTGCCCTAGTTCGCATCAGCCAACTCATACAAAAACCAAATTTGAGGCACAAAATGTCTCAGGTTATTCTGACCTGCAGGTCAATGGACCGCGAAAGAAAACAATAACCCACCGCTATCTCACTGCGCTGATGTGAATTGCAAATAAAAACTTGTAAAACTTTTTTCATCTTCCATACTTTCCACTGCTGCACTATGTAAAACAATAACAATTAAACACTGCTGACCATGACCCTGCCATTCAAATGAAGGCCCCATGTTTAGATCTGGACCATAAGAAGGTTATATATAACTTTTTTTACAACAGGTGTTAAAGAAATTTGCAGAATTATCTGTGAGTGGCTTGCACAACAGAAAAGCTTTCAGGGACTGTGATGTCTGTAACTAATGGAGTTTTACTCATATGTGAAGCAGTCACAGTTTTGTGTATTCTGCAATCAACATACACATTTGTGTCCTAAATACGTGTGAATTAACTGCTTTTATGTAGATAATGGTGTAACACGCAGGCGAGGGCAGACCTGGTTATGCTGTTTTGCTCGCCTACTCTGCTTCTGTTTACATACTTCCCCAGTAATGACCTTAATAAAAAATCATCTGCCCCACAAAGCATCCATATTTAGTCATGTGGTCCTGTTCTTGATTTTCATGTCAACCATGTAAGTAGGTAAGATCATTTAATCTCTCTTCTTTTGGGTTCTTTTATTAAAATAAATGTCTATTAGTTTAAACAAATTGTTGAAAGCACACTGAGTTAGCTGCTTTCTCTCTGTCAGCTACTTCCTGGTCACAAAAGCACACTCTGGTCAGGCAGACCACACGCAGATAACGTGCATCATGTCCTAGTTTCAGTCACAAGTTCAACTTTAAACTTGTCTGTACCGGTTTGTGTTTGATATGTCTGGTCTTTCAGGTCTCTTATTTACAGAGTATTAACTGTTCATACAATCATTCCCTGATAAACAAATGCAAGCTGTTTTTTTTATTATTCTCTGTTAAAGGAACCTTTACATCTACATTTTATCATACTGACGGCTAGTTGAACTTAAAGAAAAAGTTAAAGAAAAAAAGAGGAGCTAATTAGTTAGAGACAGCTAAGTTAGTTAAAGGGGACATGAAATGCTACACATATAACAGCTAATATACACCATTGAGCCCTGCTCTCAAAAACTGACATAGATGTTAGACTGTCTGTGAAGCTGGATTTAAGAAATCAGAGCTAGAAGTTAAAGTTTGGCTGTCTTCTGTCAGTACTCAAACTAATAGACTCAAACAGGCTCTCCTCTACACAATCCTCATTTATAAAGTGCTTTACAAACAGCATTTTGATTTTTAGTTTTAGTGTTGTTATTTTCCTCTGAGTCAGCGAATCTGTCTCTAGTTAGCTAACATAAGCTAATGTAAGTCTATTAGCTGCAACAGACCAACCGCATGACGTTACGTACCGTACTCACAGAAGATGGCGCTAAACATGTTTTTCAAACTTGAACTTTGAGCCTCGATTTCTTAAATCCAGTGTTACATCTATGTCAGTATTTGAGAGCAGGGCTCAGTGGTGTATATTAGCTTGTGTGTGTCTAGCATTTCATGTTCTCTTTAAGAGTCAATGTTGTAGTTTTTGTTAGTAAATGTATTTTCATGAAACCTATTGTGTACTTTCACTGTGTCCATATGAATGTGTTGCTCTGCTCTGACGTTTCCTCCACCAGCAAACCAATATTTCTGCTTTCAAATGTAATGCCTGTTAAATAGATTGTAATGGCTATAATGATGTAAACATGCTACAATCATGTTTTCACAGGATTCTGTGCAGTCCTCTGAATAACTAAGTGCATCCCTGTCATGCTCCGGGGTCTGTTTTCTGATCTTGCTGCGTTTTGGGACTTACCGATTTAGTTATTTGAATATTATGAGATTCCTGCATTGCCT